ATAGATAGATAGATAGATAGATAGATAGATAGATAGATAGATAGATATAGATATCTTGGTCACAGCATACCCTTGGCTTGAAAATAACCTTTTTTTCTCCTCCCCCCACCCAACATTTCTGCCTCTTGATATCTGTCCTTATCACTCAATACCCAGCTCAAATGTCATCTCTTTGTTGAACAGCTCCAGTCCCATTCCCCAGTTAAGAGTAGTTTCTACTTAATCTGATCTCATAGCACTTTTTATTCTTCTTACGCATTTTCCATATTCAAATTTGCATTTTGATCATCTGTCAACTTATCATATCTCTCCTAATAGATTTTAAGTTTCTTGAGGACGAGGACTATGTTTTGTTCATCTTTCTGTCCTAATCAGTGCCTAGTAGAGAGCATTTCACGTATTAGTAGGAGTTTCATTAATGTTTATTGGATGAAAAAATGAAAAGGAAAATGGAGTTGAATTTCCCATCATCCTTATGTTTTCTAATGTTGAAAATGTCAACTATTACTCATATCTCTAATACTGGGAAAATGGACTCACCATATTTCACCCTCTTTTCAGTCTTATTTTAACTCTACTATCCTTAATAAACACTATAGTCCAACTGAGCTGGACCACACCTTAATTTCATCCTTCCAGTCTTGCCTCCATGCAGTACAAGCTTTTGTGTATACTTTGAATATACTATTTCCTCATCTCTGCCTGATGAAACGTTTGTCTTCCTTTGAGGTCAAATCCAGGTGTCATCATCTCCAAGAAATCCATCCTGATCTATCCCCTAACTAAATGTTCTCTCTCCCATCTTTTATTTATTATAACCTTTTGTCTGGTTTCTCCTTTGCCATTGTTCTGTTCTGCTTTGTAGCATGCTTGCTTGGGCACAGGTTTCGTCTTTCCATTAGGTAAGGACTTTGTTCTTTAAACCCTTAGGACCCAGCACAATGCCTTGTACAGAGCAGACCTTTTATAAATGTTGGGTGAATGGCATTGAATTGTTTAGTCTCTTTCAGTCTTGAATAAGCCTTTGGGGTTAGGAACTAAAAGTTCTCATTTGATTCAATTTCTTGAGGTCATTTCCAACTCCATGATCTATGATTCTAGGAACTATTTGCATAGAGCTTAACATTTTCTATTCTCAATTACTTAACTGAATTGTAATTACATTTTAAAACCACAGTTGGTTTTCACTATTTTGTGGCTCATTTTCTGTAATTTAATTATTGGAAGTAAGGGGAGATGGAGTCCCCATTAAATACCACATGTTTACAGTGCCAAGAATGCCAGAAATGCCATTAAATTGGGCATTTTTTTCCTTATTTATTACATTTTCTTTCTTATTTCTTCCTTATGTATAGAGGCACAGTGGATAGAATTCTGGGCCTAGAGCCAGCATGACCTGAGTCAAAATCTAGCCTCAGACATTTACTAGCTCTGTGACCCTGGACAAGTCACTTAACCTCTGTTTGTCTCAGTTTCCCCAACTGCAAAATGGAGATAATGACAGTACCTTTCTCCTAAGGTTGTTTTGAGGATCAAGTGAGGTAACATTTACAAAGTACTTGGGAACCTCAAAGCACAGTGCCAGGCCCATAGTAATAAATGCTCGTTCTCTGCTCTCACCCTCTTCCTTATTTTTGGTCTTCTCTCCTGCTTTCATACCTTGTATATGTATTGCTTTTGTAAAGGAAGGTTCATTGAAGGAGTGGGAAGTGATTATAACCCAAATCTGGAAGAGATAAATCCTCCACTATTGCACAGATTGATTTAAGAAATGGAATATACGTCTATGTTTTTCCTTTCTACCTGTACGAGAGAGGTAGGCAGTCTATATTTTGGCAAACATCTAGATGATAACCCAAGACTCAAGTCAAGCACCCACGTAGATCCAATTTTACTATTCCTGTCTCTCTGCCTCCAGTCTTTTCCCCTCCAATCTATCTTCTTCATTCCGCTGCAAGACCCAGCTGGTCATTTCTCTTCTCTGTTCAAAAATGGAGCCACGAGAAACTTCACAAGTCTGTTGATGGGTTCCACTATAAATTTATGCTATCTAATCTAAATTGGGCACCTTCTGCATTAAGGCAATCCTTCTCTTCTTCCCTATGGATCCCCTATCCTTCTCCCCACAAGGCTTCTCTTCTGAAGGCTCCAAAAGTACTGTGTTCCTCCCCAAACCCTATCTCACAGGGTTGTTGTGAGGATCGAACGGATAATATTTGTAAAGTGCTTAGCACAGTACCTGGCACATAGTAGGTACTTAATAAATGCTTATTCCTTCCCCCTTCTGCACTTTCCTCTTACCTCTAAGGGTACCACTCTTCTGACAGTTAGGTTAGAAACCTTGGTGTCATTAACTCTTCATTCTCAACCAACCCACACATACATTTAGTTGCCAAATCTGCTTCTATCTCCACAAAATCTATCTTGTCATTCCCACTTGTATAGGTACCTCCCTGGTTCAGTCACCCATTACTTCTCTCCTGGAATTTTCTAGTAGCCTCCTATTTGGGCGGCTAGGTGACTCAGTGGGTGGAATGTCAGGCCTGGAGTCAGGAAGACTCATCATCTTGAGTTCAGATTTGGCCTCAGATCCTTACTAGCTGTGTGACCCTGGGCAAGTCACTTAATCCTATTTGCCTCAGTTTCCTAATCTGTAAAATAATCTAGAGAAGGAAATGGCAAATCATTCCGGTATCTTTGCCAAGATAACCCCAAATGGGGTCTCGAAAAATAGGACACAAGTGAAACAACTGAGCAACACCCTATTTGGTCTTCCTACCTCTAGCCTCTCTCCATTCTGATTCATCCTCCATCCAGCTGCCAAAGTGATTTTCCTGAAGTGCAGGTCTCATCAAGTTACCTCCATGCTCAGCAAATTCCGCTGGTTCCTTATTGCCTTGAAGATAACATATAAACTCCTGTGTTTGGCATTTAAAGCTATTCTCAACCTGTCTCCAACCTACCTTTCCAACCTCGTTATGCTGTAATTCTACAAGCACTAATGAATTGCTTACTGTGTGTCAGGGACTGTGCTAACTGCTAAGGATAAAAAAACAAAAAACCATAGTCCCTGTCCTCCAAGAGCTCCCATTCTAATAGAGGGAGATAACTTTCCTTCATCCTACAGCAAACCAAACTATTTTTTCCTGATCCTTATTTATGGCATTCCATTCTCTGTCTCAGGCAACATGTTACACCAAAGGTACACTCACTCTTGGAGTGAGAACGACCTGGATTCCAGGGCCTTTAACCAATACAGGCTTCTGATCATGGACAAGTCACTTAGTGCCAAACCAGTTGCTGGTCTGTATTGGTTGAGGAGAGATTCCACACTTAAAGCCCCCCCACACTGATTAAATCACTGGTCTCCCCTTACCCCAACCTCCCCACCCACCATCCCAACCACCACTGGCCAAAAAAATTCTATATTGTTGTCTTTTCCTCCTACTATGCTTTAAGTTGCTAGAAGGAGGGATCATCACTTATCTAAACTTTATATATCATGAAGTATCTAGTGTGTGATAAGTATACAATAAGTGCTTAATCAATTTTTGTTGCATAGAATCAAATTGTGTATGACAATCAACATGAAAAGTCTCCTCCCTTGTGTTTTAGCCATGGTCAGGACAGACCAACAGCCAGACTCAGCATCCGTAGGGATAGACCATTGTCCGTCCATCTGAACCTGGGACAGAAAGGGTAACCCATCATATTTTCTTCCAGATTTTACAGATGTTTTGTAAAAGCTCGGATGACTATTTTTCTGATGATTTACTTATAAGCTTTTTGTTGTTTCTTTTGCAGAAACCGGAGAACTTCTAGGTAAGGGGGGGAAGGGGGGGAGAGAGGGGAAGAAAGAGAGAGAGAGAGAAAGGAGAGAGAGAAAGGAGAGATGAAGAGAGAAAAATAAAAAAGAGAGAATGGGGGGATGAGAGAAATAATGAGAGAAAAAGAGAAAGAGGAGAGAATGAGAAAGGAAAGGTGAGATAGAAAGAAAGGAGAGGGGGGAAGAGGGAGAGATAGAGAGAGAGAGAAAAAAAGAGAAAGAAAGAGGGGGGGAGAGAGAGAGAGAGAGAGAGAAAAAGAGAGAGAGAGAGCACTGACCATCCATTAGAGTATGTGCTTTTGAAAGATTGTTCAGATCTGGTCCTTTGATTCAATAATGGTCTGTTGGTGTTATTGTTTTAATGGCAGCCCCATAAAAGTTAATCAGTTTGAAGCACACTTCATGAAGCTACAAGCGGATTCCAACTATCTTCTCTCCAAAGAATATGAGGTAGGAATCAAGGCCAAATAGCCATCTGACTTCCAAGGCAGTAGTTTACCAATCCCTTTAACCTTTCACCTGGGCTCAGATTCTAATTTTGGCTGCGCGTTAGGATGAGTTTTAATATCTCAACCAGACTATTACAATCTGTGTAACTTTCATATTGAGTTGTATATTTGAAACCTGAAGACTTGCCTTGATGCCCCAGCTCTGCCTCTTACTGTTAGGCAGCTGGGTGGTCCAATGGAGAGAGCACTGGGTCTAGAATTAGGTCTAGGAAGACCTGAGTGCAAGTCCAGCCCCAGACACTTAGCAGTGTATAATCTTGGACAAGTCACAACTTCTGCTGCCTCAGTTTCCTCATCTGTAAAATGAAAGTAGAAAGGAAGAGGTGGGCTGGATAACCTCTCAGGGTCCCCTGTGCTTTAAATCCTATGATCCTCACTGGCCCCGAAGTCAAGAGGACCTGAGGTCAAATCTGGCCTCAGACCAAACACTTGACATTTACTAGCTGTGTGACCCTGGGCAAGTCACTTAATCCCGATTGCCTCACCAAAAAAGCAAAAAAATAAAAAATAAAAATAAAATAAATCCTATGATCCTGTGACTATGGCACAGTGCTGACAGTTTGGTTTCAGGAAGAGATGAGCAAATTGTAGGAGTCCAAGGAACCAAAACAAATGGGCCTCATGTTATCAATACAGAGTGTTCCTTTCTGATTTAAACATTTATTTGACCACTTAATTAAATAGCCAAAAAAAAAGACCCCTCTCCACTTGGCTTCAGATGACCTGGGTGTTTTGAGGTTCATATTCACACCATTTAATAATTTTCCACTTGGAAACTTTTATTTCTGTCCTAACAGGATTTAAAAGAGGTGGGTCGAAACCAATCATGTGATACGGCCCTCTTGCCAGAGAACAGAGGGAAAAATCGATACAACAATATACTGCCCTGTGAGTTTTATGTTGGTTTGTGTAATACTATCTTCCGCAGCCCAGTTTTCACCTCTTTTTCTCTAAAACAAATGAGGCTTAGGAAAGGAAGTGGTTGTTCTCCAAGAGGAGATGAGTAGTCCCAGTCTAGACAGAGCTCAGAATTTTGGTGCAGAAGAGCTATGACTTTTAAAACGAACTGACTTTCAGGTTATTTTCCCTTCCCACTGGAGGCAGAGGCAAGAGAAATAATAGGCATTCTGGTTATGAGAAGCTACAGCTGTTCCAGTCGCTCAGCTGGGCTGTCATACTTGATACCACTCAGAGCCCTAACAGAAGCCATGAAACGTAATATTTGTTACTCAGCTCAGAAGGCAGCAGAGGCTTCTATGAACTGGGGTCATTGCAGCCTTGCCAAACAGCTGACCTCCATGACGAATGAATGTAACAGCTTTGCAGAGGGGTGTCTGTCAGATAGCGGCCTTCACTTAAAATGTGCATTCCCTGACCGAGAACAGGGAAGTCACCCCCAGATTCAAAGACAAACTTCTGTTACAGGTTCATCACCTGGGGTCTCTGAACACTTTAAAATTTTTTTTTTATATTTTTAATATGATTGTACATATATAACCTACAACAGATTACTTGCCATCTTGGGCAGGGGGAAGGAAAAGGAGGGAGAAAAAAATCTGGAACTCAAAACTCTTACAAAAATGAATGCTGAAAGCTAATAAATAAATATTTAAAAATTAAAAAAAATAATTTTAATAACTATACTTATGTATTTGAATTCCTTTGCAGTCCATGTACTTTATTTTCTACATTTAAAAATGTTATTCTGAGAAGGGGTCCAAAGACTTCACCAGATTTCCAAAGGGGTCCATGACACCCAAAATATTTAAGAACCCCTGCATTAGCCTTCCCCATAACTTGAGACATGTTCACCTTTAGCATCTGATTCTGGCCGCCCACTCATTAACACCCAGCAGCACAAATTCAACCCTAGCCATTCAAACAGAACTGCTTTTGCTTAACAAGCCAAGACATCGTGGACCTGAGGTGACATCTTCATTCGCAGAGGAAAAGAGATTAGAGATAAACCTCTACATGTTGTGTAATATATCTTATATATGTACCTAGTTATTTCCATGTGTTCTTCATTCCCCTTAGAATGTAAGCTTCTCGAGGGCAGGGGCTGTCTTTACCTTTCTCTGGATCCTCAGAGCGTAGCACTATGCCTAGCATATAGTTAGTATTTAATAAGTACTTATTGCCTGACTGATTCTTTCAATAACCTGCTTTCCAGATGATACAACAAGAGTGAAGCTTTCTAATGTCGATGATGACCCTTGCTCGGACTACATCAATGCCAGCTACATACCAGTAAGTGTGAGAGTACCCTATACGTGGAGTCACTCTGCCCAAAGATAAAGCTTTGATGGACAGCCTTATTTAAAGTGCTTTCCCCTGGACATTCTTAGTGTTCTCATTTAATGGCCGGTGAACCTTTTCTGTTTTATTTTTCTTTAAAGACCGTGTCTGATTGACTAACAGTGCCTGATTGCCATAAAATGAATGATGTCCAATTCAATCAGTACCAAATCCCACTTTCTCGGATTGCTGTAATCAGATCAGATCATGGTTATCAGGAGTCAAGGACATATTTCCAAAGGTCATTCTCTCTCTCTGTCTCTCTGTCTCTCTTTCTCTCCCCTAGCTTAGCTATCAGCCCAGTGAGCAGGGCACCAATGAGGCCATGACTCAGCCTGTCAGTGTGGCTAGCTTGATTCTGCCCTCATCCTATTTCAATTCAATCCTCTGAAACTACAGCCATGTCTTTTTTCTCACACTCATAATTCAAGACTTGTTTCCCCTTTAGGATCTGATTCTGACTGTCCACTCGTTAACTCCCAGCAGCATGAATTCAGTCATCTAAACAGCCTGGGCTTTTGCTTAAACAATTGTGACAAGGCATTGTGGGCCTGAAACGGTATCTTCATTCACAGAGGAAAAGAGTAAATTGAGATGGTTAAGCAGATGATTGTGTCAAAAGGGTTACTTGTCTTGACACAGTAAAAAGAGGTCTGGAGTTCACAATCCTGTTTTTGAGCTACCTAGCCATATGACCCTGGACACATCATTTAACTTCACTGGGTATCAGTTTCCTCAACAGTAGAATGCTAGGGTTGCATAAGTTCTGAGGTCCCTGCCTATGTTTTCTAGATAGTTGCTTCAATTCTCCACTTCCTTTTCATCCTAGACACATCTATGCTTCTTTTTTGTCTCCGTAACCCTGGTGCCTAAAATTTCATAAATACTTATTGATAAAAAGGGAACTTATCTTCCACCAATACCTAAACATTCTGACCTGTGCCCTTCCTTCTTCTAAGCACTTCTAAGGGACCTTGGGGAACATTTTATTACCTCTTTCTCAGAGGATATAAACATTTCATCCAATCGACATCCAGGTCTGGCCCTTTGTTTAATTCTTAAGAGTCTATTGTTTCTGGACTCACAGACTGTAAATTCATTGCAGGGCAACAACTTCAGAAGAGAATACATTGCTACTCAAGGGCCCCTTCCTGGCACCAAAGATGACTTCTGGAAAATGTCGTGGGAACAGAATGTCCACAACATTGTAATGGTGACCCAGTGTGTTGAGAAGGGTCGGGTAAGTAAAAAAGATTCCTCCTTGACTTATCTCTCAGAAGTGTCACTTGAATAAAATTCAGCAAGCAGGTCAACAAGCATTTATTAAACATCTACTATGTGCTTAGTGATAGCAATACAAAGAAATGAAAAACCAATCCCTGACCTCAAGGAACACTGTCAAAAGTCAGATGGCGCAGTGGATAGAGCACCGGCCCTGAAGTCAGGAGGACCTGAGTTCAAATCTGGCCTCAGACCAAACAGTTGACACTTAACTAGCTGTGTGACCCTGGGCAAGTCACTTAACCCCAATTGCCTAAAAAATAAAAAAAAAAAAAGTCAGAGGGAGAACTGAGCTGGATAGAAATTGTTATGGGGGACTCCTTAAAGAATTTTATAATAGAAGACCCCAACAAATATGCCAAGGTTGTAGACCATATGAGTTGTGCTAAGCCCTGAGAATGCAAAGCAAAGGCAGAAATTCTCCCCCGAAGTTTGTGACAGGCAGAGCCAGCCATAGCCACTGGACCCATTGCTACAAATGGTAAGGGAGAGAAGGGTCCTCATTCTTGCAGGACTTTATCACTTTTCTTTTATGTCCCAGATGCAAAATTGATGCATTTAAATGAGCACACAACTTGTGGGCGAATCATTTACCTGCTCATTTGAAGTCAGAAGAGTTTTTGCTATTGTTTTATTTTGTTTTGGTTTGGTTTTTTATTCAAGTAACACCTTGAATTCTCCACTTCTTTTTGTATGTATAAACAGACTGATTTGCCAATCTGATCAGAATCAGATTCTGATCTTTTAAAGTAAAAGCTGCCAACCACTTAATACTCTTAAATCCAAGCTGAGATGGGGGAAAGGGGAGTGGGGAGTGGGGTGGGGTGTTGTTATACATTCTCAATATGAGTAACAAAGCCAAAAAGCTTTGTACCTTCCCCTCTCCAACTCCATCCTTCAAACCCTATTTCCAGAGGACTGATCACTTCTAAAGCTTTGTCTAGGGATGAAAGTGAACTAAACAATGACCAGAAAGCCCAAGTCACATTACATTGCCCTTGAAATGGAAGATAACAGAAACAAAAGAGTGATTCTGTGTTGTGTGTATCTAGGGTGAGGGGGAGGTGCCTTCTCCCCAAGTCATCTGGAAATTCTGTTTACTTTTCCCCATTACTTCATTTGTATAGCCACAACTTGAAGCTCAGTCATGAAAGCCTTTGCATTGAGGGATTAGTCCAGTGAGTAACAACTTGGTTACTCTAGTAGCTGGTACCAACACCTAACTCAGAAAGGCACTTTCAGGGTACAAAGGGCAGATTCCCCAGTGGCACACATTCCAGGACTCATTTTTGCCCCCCCTCTCTTTTTCTCCAGGTAAAATGTGATCACTATTGGCCAGCAGACCAAGATTCCCTCTATTATGGAGACCTCATCGTGCAGATGCTGTCAGAGTCTGTGCTGTCAGAATGGACAATCAGAGAATTTAAAATATGCAGTGTACGTTGGTGGGCTTCCTGATTTGACTTCTGTTTATTTCTTTATCTTAAACAACTAAGCCTGTGAAAATGAATGGGGCCAGTTAATCCTGCTCCTGGTTGATTACTCTCCTATGGATGAACACAAATGCAATCCTGCTAAAATCAGACGGGCTGTTTCCTGCTTGTGAAGGTGATTGGGGCGTTCAGATCTCTGCCTTGGTTCATCCTTCTTGCTATCTTTACCTCTGACAGGAGGAGCAGCTTGATGCAAACAGACTCATCCGTCACTTTCACTACACAGTCTGGCCAGATCATGGAGTTCCGGAGACCACCCAATCCCTGATCCAGTTCGTAAGGACAGTCAGGGATTATATTAACAGAACACCTGGGGCTGGGCCCACCATTGTGCACTGCAGGTAGGCATTAACATCAAATTCTAAGCAAAGAGCAGCTGCTCCGGGGCCATGTTCAGGAGCTCAAAACAAGGCATAAACGTGGCAAAATCCAATGGTTAAAAGTCCAACTGCCAGGCTAGTCAACTAAATTAGCATGTTTAGAGAGAAGACTCTTTCCTGGTCCTTTAACGGGACTTTTTAGTCTCTGCCCATCCTTCTCCTTCTTTCCTGCTGTAAAGTACCTTGCCCATTTTCTTACCCTTTTCACCACTAAACTGCTCCATATGAAAGGAGCCTTAGTGACATGTACTATAATGGGACAATATCCCTTTAAGACCCTTTTCATATAGAGCAACTTAGTGATGAAAAGCACAGCAAAACGGACAATGCATGTACCTTATATTGACATAGTAAATCCAAATTCTTTTGTCTCGTTTTCTTGGCCCTCCATATAGAGGCCCTAGCCTGTTAACTTTGCAATTCAAGTTTATTTCTAACTATTCCTCAGCACCACCTGTTAAGCTGGCCTCCTCAATGTCCCATGAATGCACCATGAATCTAATCTCCCTGCACTGGATTGTGTTGCTTCCTCAGCCTATGATGTCTCCTCTTCTTAATAATCTCGTTGTAGGGGGCAGCTAGGTAGCGCAGTGGGTAGAGCACCGGCCCTGAAGTCAGGAGGACCTGAGCTCAAATCTGGCCTCAGACCGAGCACTTGACACTTACTAGCTGTGTGACCCTGGGCAAGTCACTTAACCCCAATTGCCTAAAAAATAATAATAATATTAATCATGTTGAAGCATGTAAAGTCCATTTCACTCCATCCATGAGATTTTTCTGAACCTCGTCCTAGCATCATAGCATTTAGAGCTGGAAAGGACATTAGTGCCCATCTAGTCCAACTCCATCATTTTATAGATGAGGAAACTGAGGCTAAGAAAGGTTAAGTAAATTACTCAAAGTCACCCAGGTGGGGAATAAAACAACTGAGTGTAGAACTGAGGCCTTCTGACTCCAAATACAGTACTTGTATGATGGGGTTAATAAATATTTTGTACACAGGCAAAAAAAATTGCAGATATAGTTTCGTTTTTGTTTTTTTGTTTTGTTTCACCTATAATGAGGTCCATTAGCCACTTCTTTGTCAATTTCCTCTCATAGCAAATTCCCAAATCTGGTAATAATGATTTTCTGTCTCTTTGCCTCAGAGTGCTACCTATAAGATCAGAATAATACTTACTTAACAAGCATTTATGTAGTATCTCTTCTATACTCAGGCATGGTGCTAGGCTCCTGGGGATCTAAAGATGGAAATATCCTTGCCTTGAAGGAAGCCAAGGATTCTACAAAATGGTGGGGAGAAGAGAATGCATTCTAGGCATAGGGGATAGCCAGTGAAAAGACATGGAGATGGAAAATGGAGATGCCCAGGAAGGCTGGTGTGGCTGGACCATAAAGTGAAAGGAGGGAATAATGCATAAACAGGCTAGAAAGATAGATGAGGACCAGGTTGTGAAGGACTTCAAATGCCAAGAAGAGGGTTTTTGTTGAGTAAGGGGATGACATGTTCAGATTTTTGCTTAAGGTAAATCTCTTTGATGATAGGGAGCCATTGAAGTTCATTCAACAGTGAAATGACATGGTCACACCTAGGTGTTGGAAAAATCACTTTGATGATATAGAGTCACTGAAGTTTATTGAATAGCAGAATGACATAGGTCAGGCCTATGTACTGGGAAAATCACTTTGGCAGCTCTTTGTAGAATGGATTGCAGTAGAGGCAAGGTGAGACCCATAAGTCAATTCAGTCTATCAGGAGAACCATAATGTTTGACTAGTTGATGCTTGGAAGAACACATATTCCTTGCTGAGAGCCATTAATGGAGGTACACACATTACCATCTTAAAAAGAAAAAACAAATTTAATGCAAATGTTAAAGACACTTAGATTTTTATCCAACAGACCAATAACCCCAGCTTCTCTACCATTGGATTTTGTGTGCTATTAATAGAAATATGCCAGCTCTGTTCCGTATTAGCTTTATGACCTTAAGTGAGACACTTGATCACTCTGGGCCTCAGTTTCACATACAAAATGAGAATTTTGATCTACGTGATCTTTGAAGTGCTTTCCAACTATAAATCAGAAGACTTGGGCTCACATCCTATCTCTTCCATTTATTGCCTGTATAACCTTGTCATACAAGTCATTCATCTATCTGTCCTGTTTCCTTATTTGCAGAATGAGAAGCATTAGACTGGATGACCTCAAAGGTCTCTTCCATCTCTAAATCTATGATCCTATGAGTTACTAAAGAGCACTTTGGCTTCTGAGGAATGTGCTTGTCATTGGATAATTATTGCTGGACTGAGGATCAAGTAATTTGCCCCAAGGGAAAAGGTCTTTTCAATCCTGCAAACAACTCACACAAGAAATTCAAAATTTCTCCCAGAAATAGTAGGAAGGGTAAAAATATTACAACAAACACACCTACATGCTATCTATACTTGATGATATATGATACTTCCTGATAGAGAGGTGATGAACTCAAGATGCAAAATGAGACTTGTCCCATGCAGGAGTGTGTTTTATTTGACTATGCTTATTTGTTAGAAGAATTTTACTCTTCTTTTTTTAAAAGTGGGGAGGAGAGAGAGAAAGATAGAGAGGCAGCCAGCCAGCCAGCCAGCCAGAGAATAAATGCTTGTCAACTAAAAAAAGTAAAATAAAATAAAAGTTATATTTAAAATGAAGACAGAGATTTTGTAAAAAATGTTTCATGGTTCGTATCTGTTCTCCATCTTTTTCAGCGCTGGCGTGGGTAGGACAGGAACCTTCATTGCACTGGACCGCATCCTGCAACAGTTAGACTCCAAGGACTCTGTTGACATTTATGGAGCAGTGCATGATCTTAGACTTCATAGGGTTCACATGGTTCAGACAGAGGTAAGAGGTAAAATCTAAGCTGTGCAGACCACTCGGAAAGGTTGACTATTTCAATGGATTAGGAAGAAAAATGGAGAGAAGAAAAACAGAGAACTACATTTGGATTGTTTAGGGGAATTGTTATTTTTCAGGTTCCATACTGTTGGACTCTGGATAACACTTGTCCTTTCTAGCTGTCTGTGTATATTATATGGGAGAAAGCAGGAAAATGGATTGTTTTTAATCCATGCTTTGTGCAGGTGAGATTGTAGATGGTTTGGAATGCATTTTCCACCCATTCAATAAGTATGTTGAACGTTGATAACAGCTGCTAGGCCCCAGGGGCTTCAACACTCCCCCTCACTCCCTTCACCACTAAGGGATCTCTCTCTTTTGGACCCATACATGGGTCCCAGATCAAGTTCAGTTCTGGGGGAGCTTAACCTAGAAAAGAGAAGATTTACTTATATTGGGCTCATGTCTATATCCCCCCAAACGGGTGGGGAGAGTAAAATATGTGCAATATATTATGTTACATTGTAATGTAAATCAGAGATGAGACCAGTGTTTATTTCTTATACACAAAAGAAAAGCTAAACACAAGACACTCATAAGCATGTACCGACATAAAGATTTAAGTTAAATAAAAGACAGCACAAGCTACTGCTGTACTCTGCCAGCAAGAACAACAACGATGATGATGATGATGATGATGATGATGATGATGATGATGATGATGATAATAACTTTTATATAGCACCTACTATGTGCTGAGTACTATAGAAATATTATCTCATTTTATCCTCATGACAACCCTGGAAGGTAGGTGCTATTATTATCCCCATTTCACAGATGAGGAAACTGAGGCAAATGGAGCTGAATTGACTTGCCCAGAGTCATGTATCTAGTAAGTATCTAAAGCTAGACTTGATAGCAGGTCTTAACTCTAGACTAGTATTCTATCCAATCAATGGCAGCTAGATGTTCTCGCACCCTTCTCTCTACTTATCTCGGCTTTCAACTCCCTATTAGCCATTTTTGTTCTATCCTTTCCAGGTCAAAGATCATGCTTCTTGGTAGGAAAAAACAAAGAAACAAAACAAAAAACCATAGACATAAAACTGAGTTCCTCTGACTTCAGAAGCCTTTCTGTCATCTATTATCATTGCCTCATTCACCCTGAAGAGTGTTCTGGTTCCTTCTTTGGTCTTCTTTTCACCAATATTGCTAAAACAAACCAAGCCCCTTTTGCTATACTTGGTTTTATTCCTGGCCATCTTCAGCTTATTCTAGGTTTTACCATTCTCCATGCTATTCTCATAACCCCATGCCATGCTATTGAATTCGCCCTTTGTTGCCTGTCCTTATCATTCTATCTTTGGTTCATATCTTTATTTTTTTTTAATAATAAGTTGTTTGATGAATTCCTTGTGAAGTCATGATCTCTTTAGAGCCCCTCCCCCCTTTTTTCTCCTCATTGGAATTATATCCTTAGTATTTCATTCTTGAGGACTTCTTATCTCTCTTCTATTGAACAGAAGTTCCACTCATCATTTCTTCTACCTTTGAAAGTTGAAATTATAATTAAGGCAAATTATGAAATGCTCTGTGCTCCAGCAGATGGATTATTGCTTGCATATTTGAAGTCCTCCCCCATCCTGCGCAAATATTGCTCTACCATTCTCCTATTCCAGATTTATGATACGTTTCCCAAATTCTTCATCTATTATTGATTTCTGTTTATGAGGCCTGTATTATAGTCCAATGACAACACGGCTTCTGTTTCTCAGTCAATTGATTATCATCATGATTCCCTTTCCCTATTCCTGCCAGTTTCCTAGATTTCTTCGTGTATATTGATAAACAATGCTAATAGTCCCACTACCTTTATCCTATCCTGTTTATTTTTAATAAATATATCCTTCCAGAGTAATAGTCCTGTCCTAGGTTTCATCCCACGAAGTGTCAGTGATAAATATGGGGCTAAATTTTTCCTCCTTGCATGACGTTTGTCAATTTACCTCGGGTTTTCCCCACACTTAGTACATTTATTTATAGACAATCTGAGACCATGGGTCTCGTTGATGGCTCCTTTCTTGGTTTTTGTCTCCTGTAAATGTCTTGGCATCTTGACTGCCTTTCTTCTTCCTATGTTTTAGAGACACTTTAAGATATTTAGCTTGGGTATACACTGAGTTTTCTCTTTTTCTCTTCCTTTTCAGTTGAAAGCCCTTTCAATTAGATTTGCAAGACTCCAGGCAAATACTTGTCAGCCTTTTTTTAGGTGCACTCCATCCCTGGCCTGTTATTCCTATATTTTAAACTGTGGTTCAGAAATCTAGATCCTATTCTCAGATGCTTCCTTTTTAATCAACTGATCACTTCTCAAACCTGCCTTTTTCATCTGATCCTGTCTTTGATTGGTTGCAGTAGTGGAAATTCCACCTGGGCCCCTAATGTCTTCAGTTTCTTGCCCCAGACTTTTAATCTAGAAAGCATTGCTAAAGATTACATTCTTACAGCATCATTTATTCCCACATGAATTACCAGAAATAGAAAGCAGTCATCTGGTTTGACAAACATTGGAAGGTTCTTTGTCACATCCTAGATTCCTGCCCTGAGAATACTGAGAATGGCTCATGTCCTGGGAATTACTTGTCTTCCCTCCAGTCATCTGTCTTTGTTATCCATTGTAACCAAGAGAAAATGTTGCCCAAACAAGAAGTAAATTTTCCATATATAGCAATCCATCCCTCTCTTCCATTTTTCTTGGCTGTTATGTCTATTCTAATTGAGAGGCATGTGTAGAGGTGACAAGTTAAGAATGTTATACAGCATTCATGGTTTGGGGGATTTAGGCTGATAACACTGTCATCATGTTACTAAGAAGTCACTATTGGTCTTCCAGTTAAGATGACAATGTGAAAGGTCATGAAGGAACCCAGCTCTCCCATATAAACTGCAGCAAATACATGAAAAGGGGCCCAGAGCAATAATAAAGAAAAAATGGGAAAAAAAAGTAAGCTCCACTATCCAACCCAAAACAGTACAAAAATGAAATGAAACTTCCAGAAGCCAAGGGAGTCTGGAAGAGTCATCTCTCTGACTGGGAAGTTTCAATGAAACTTGTGCTCATATAATTCGAATCCTGAAGCCAAATCCGAGCCTCAGTCTGTCAGAACAGAAGCACAGGACAGAGCACAGGTTGCTGTGCAGAGAGAAAAGGTCCAGCCACCCACTCCTTAGAGTACTAGGAAACCAACTCAGGGGTGGAAACCCATGTCAGGGGCCTTGGAGGATTTCTCCAACATGGTCTCCATTATGCCACTAGGGCCAATCAAGGTCCCAGAGCAAGGACTGAAAAAGCTCACAATTAGAGGCTATGGAAGAAGAGAAACTGGGGCTAATTGAGGCTGAGCCTCCAGGGGACAATGAGGAACCTGGAAAAAAAAGATGTCAGGGATTGATGTGGAAGGTGAGGTCTAGTGCCAGCCACCCCAGCGACTTTGGCATTTAGATTACAGAGAGTATCCAATCAATCCAAAATTGCCAGAGGGCACCAGCCTCACACAAAGTCCCAATCCAGCCCCTAAGCCTAGAAGTAGCAGTAAAGAGAAGAAAACACTAAACGCTGAAGAAATGACTTAAGAGAAGTCTAAGAGGAATAACCCAGATGAAGACAGCAAATTCACAACCACAAATAAAACCTCAGAGAGGAAAACAAACAAATAAACAAGCAAACAAAAAATGGCTTAGCCACAAGCTCTATGAAAATAACTAGAAGAAATAAAGCAGAAGTAGAAAGTGAAATAATAAATGAAATTAAAATTCAAAAAGGAAAATAATTGAAAGGAGAATAAATAGCTTGGTTAGAACAGAAGGTAGAAAAACTTATCTAACTCATTGACTCCCTTGAAAAATAGAATGGAGCAAATAGAACTCCTTATAAAATGACATGAAATATTAAAACAACTAACCTGGAAAAAGGTCAAAAAGAGACAAATTAAGAATCATCAAACTCCCTGAAAACCATAAATGAATTTAAAAAAAAAGTCTGGACACTATATTTCAAGAAATCAAAGACTGTCCGAATCTAATATGACCAGAGGGCTCAGTGAAAATAGAAAAAAAAAATCCACTGATCATCCCTCTGAAAGAAAACTCAAACTGAAAATCCCTGAGAATATTACAGCCCAACTCCAAAGCATCCAAGTCAAAGAAAAAAAAAAGTCTGTAAGAAAGAGTTCCAATGCCAAGGAACTAGTGTCAAGATCATACAACAAAATGTTGGAAAAGAAGAGAAAGTCTTAGAATGTACTCTTCCAGAAGTCAAAAGATAAAGGTTCACAACCAAGAATAACCTTACCCTAGAAAACTGAATATAAATCTACATGGGATGGGGGGAGCGGATGGAAGGAAGGGAACTTTAAGAGAATAAAAGACTTTCAAGCATTCCTGATGAAAAGAGCGCAACTGAACAGGAACTTCGGGAAATAAACAGGGGTGTCAAGACAAACCAAGAAAGGAAAAGAGGTTTAAGCAAATAGAAGTGTCTAAAGGATGGTGAAGTCCTTATATTCTGCTGGGGAGAGGAGTAGGAAGAGTCAATTATTCCTTCAGAAAAAGAAGAGAGAGGAACTTACTATTTTTCATATATGTGCTAACACATGTGTGGCATAGGCCACACATAGGCACTGTGCTAGTACTGTACAAGTACTATCTCAGCTGATACTTACAACATCCTCCAAAGTAGGTGTTAGTACGATCCCCATTTTATAGTTGTAATCAAGTAAGTTGGCCAGGGTCAAAGAGCTAGTAAATGTCTGAGGCTGGATTTAAACTCGGATCTTTCTGACTCCATGTCCAGGGCACTATCCACCATACCACGTAGCTGCCCCAAGCACTATATCTGTGTAGCTAACACCAAAAGTTTACTTAGGCAGTCAGGGGAAGAAATATGTTTCTACGAGATATATTTCATCTCTAGTTGTTCAAGTTTTTCAGTTAAGAATAAATGGGAAGGATATTCATCCTGCAGAACATTTCAATAGGCACCCTTTTCCAATGTATATTCTCGGAAGAAAAGAAGAGTTTGTACTTAAGACAAAGCACCTTGGTATATATTCCTACGTGTAGTTACTCAGTTATTTTTTAGTCATGTTGGTGACTCTATTTTGGGGTTTTTTCTTGGCAAAGATGCTAGAGTAGTTTCCCATTTTCAGCTCCAGCTTATTTTACAGATGAGGAAATGGAGGCAAACAGGGTTAAGTGACTTGCCCAGGGTCACATAACCACTAAGTGTCTGAGGCCAGATTTGAACTCAGGAAGATGAATCTTCCTGACACCAGGCTGGCCCTCTATCCACTGTGCCACCTAGCTGTCCATATTCCTACTAGCTCCTCCTTTATGAAAGGTATATATTGATGGGCTATAAAGTTACCAGCCTCATTCACAGGTGACTTAGGTAGTCTCAGAGTAACTTAATTTCCTATATAAAATTTAAAATGAGTCATCTTTTTTTTTTTTAAAAAGTCATTCTGTAACTTCAAGATTGGGGGTGGGGGTCGGGTGAGGAAGAGCTTCTCAAATTAGCAACAGGAGGCTGTCATATGCTAGAAACTGTTCTCTGTGAAATTCCCTCCTCTAATTTCTAGGCAGAGGGGGGAGTGAAGCACGCATTAGAGGCGAAAAGTGATTTGGAAGAGGAAATGCATGGTGTTATAATTAAAATTAATGCATATGATTTTGTGAATGATTCGTTAGAAAAACATCCTGAGCTGATTATTGTACCATGGTCTGACTTATGAAATAGCTAGGAAAGCTAGGCCTAACTTCCAGGCAGGAACCAAGCATAAAACTATCCCATAGAGCTGAGTGTGTATCTTGGAAGGGGTTTCGCAACTTCTCATAATTCCAGTGGGTTTTCTATCTAACTGAGACATATGAGTCAAAAAACATTTTTTTCAACTTCTATCAACATGACAGCACCAGAAATATTTTAAGAATAGTGCTAGATTTGGCATCAGAGACCTCAATTTTCTCATTTTTTTTAAATTAGGAGATTGAACTGCATAATCTGAGAGTTCCTTCCCAGTTCTAAATCTATAACCTTATGAATGCATTTCAATAGGCACACTTCTCCCCATACGGAAAATGTTACCGTCAATGGTCAGATAACTAGAAGTGCTTCCGAGATCATCTAGCCCTGATCTCCTGATTTTGTAGAAGATGAAACAGGCCCAGCTGGGTTAACCCACCTAGTTAGTGAACTAGACTGGACCCCAGACTGCCTGCTACCCAGTCTTATTCTCTTTCTTTTCACTAAGATGCACAACCTCTTCCTTGTTTTCTAGTTTCTGAGGCCAGAGCAATCAACAACAGTAATAGCAATAAGCCTTGATTAAGCACATTCTCTGTGCCAGGCACTACGCTAAGTATAAGGCTAGAGGTAGGAAAAAAAAGACAAAAAACTCAGTCTCTGCCCTCAAAGAGCTCACATTCTAATGGAGGAGACAATGTGCAAACAACTATGCACGTACAATATAAATAAAGTGTTACTAGGAGGTAATCCAATAGGTAAAGTGGTAGCTGCTGGGGAGAGTGGAGAGGTCTCTTGTAGGAGGTAGGATTTAGGGTGAATCTGTTACGAAGCCAGGGAAGGCAAGGGATGGAAGTGGAAGTGAGGAGAGACAGCATTCTGGATGTGGCTGGGGTGGGGGTGTGGGCTGGCAGCCAATGAAAAGGCACAGAGCTGGGGGATATAGAAGGACAGTATTGTGGAGAAGGCCAGTGTTACTTAATCACAGAGTATGTAGAGGCCAGTAAAGTATAAGAAGACGAGTAAGGTGGGAAAGAGCCGGATTGTAAAGAGCTTTAAAAACCAAACAGAGGATTTCATATTTATCCTGGAAGTAATGAGCCACTAGAGTTTACTGAATAGGGAGATGGAATGCTCAGGCCTGCATCTTAGGAAGATCAATTTCACAGCTGAGTGGAGGAGGGATACAATGAGGAGGGACCTGAGTCAGGGATACCAAACCAGCAGGCTACAGAAATAGTCCAGGAGTGGGGTGAGGAGGGCTTGTGTCAGACTTGTGGCAATTTCAGAGAAGAGAAGGGTGTGCACAGGAGACATGTTGTGAAGGCTGAATCGATAAGACTTAGCAACACATTGGATATGAGGAATAAGAAATGAATTGAGGATAACACCAAGATATCAAGCCTGGTTATCTAGAAGGACAGTGGTGCTCTTGATAATAGAAGAGAAGTTTAGAAGAGGGTAGGGTTTGGGGAGTAAAAATGATGCGTTCTGTTTTGGACATGTTGAGTTTGAGATACCTGAAGGGCATCCAGTTCAAGACATCTAAGAGGTGATTCAAGATTACCACTCTGGAAAGAGAATAGGGCTAGATAGATCCTGGGCATCATCTGCGTAGAGATGATAATTAAACCATGGGGAGCAGATGAGATCACCTAGTGAGATAATGTAGAGAAAGATGATAGTGTGCTAAAGGTGCTGAGGTAGACACTATATTTCTATAGCCATCAGTTCCATTTACAAAAAGCTACGTCATGAGGAGTTTCATATGTTTCAACCCCTGGACAATCAGATAGTGTGTGGGTTAACCTAGACCAGAAATGTCAAATGTAGCCCACAACATTCCTCTTATTGTTCAGTCACATCCGACTCTTCGTGACCCCAGTTGAGGTTTTCTTGGCGAAGATACTGGAGTAGCTTGCCATTTCTTTCTCCAGCTCATTTTACAGATGAGGAAGTGACTTGCCCAAAGTCCCACAGCTAGTGTCTGAGGCCAGACTTGAACTCAGAAAGATTAGTCTTCCTATCCAACTCTGCCACCTAGCTGCCCTACAACACTCCTGAGTACAGCTCAAACCAGATTCAAATGCAATTAGGGAATGTTTAACAAAGTAGATAAAAATAAAATGCAACAAAGGTAATGGTAATTTGTAGTTTTCTAAGTCAATATATGCCCTACAGTGATCTGTTTCTACTTGAGTTTGACACCACTGGTCTAAGGGGGTAAAAAGACGGCATTGGCTGTCTTAATGTAACAGGTGTCTGTTTTCTGTGAAAATCTTTGGAGTATCTAAATGACTCCCTCCTCTTAATCTGTGACTCTTATATTTGGGTTTTGTTTCTTGTTTTCTCATTTCCAAATTTTTATATATGTACATACATATATGTATATACACACATATACGTGTATATATATATGTATATATGTGGGTATATATATACATATATACGTGTGTGTGTGTGTATTTATATATATGTTCAGTCTGACCTAAGGTTCAAGACGTAGGCCAATTCTTCACAAGGAAAGGAGAGCTCTGTAGAGACAAAGTGTTCTAGAATGGTATTCAACCACTCAGTAAGGGAATTACAAGAGAACTCTAGAAACAGAACTGGAATTCTGTGCTCTACATCCCACTTCAATAATAATAATAATAATAACATTTAGGAGCAGCTAGGTGGTGCAGTGGATAGAGCACCAGTCCTGGAGTCAAGAGGACCTGAGTTCAAATCCAGCCTCAGACACTTACTTACCCAGTGACCCTGGGTGAGTTGCTTAGCCCCAATTGCCTCCAAAAAAATAATAAAAAATAATAGCATTTATATGAAGTACTTTAAGGTTTACAAAGCACTTTCACAAATATCTCATTTGATGCTCAAAATCTCCTTTGGAGGTAGGTGCTATTATTTATTATTACAACTTTACAGATGAGGAAACTGAGGCAGAGGTTAAGTGACTTACCAACGATCATACAGCTAGTAAAGTACTTGAGGCCTGATTTGAACTCAGATCTTCCTACCTGTACTCTATTGCCTGTGCCACCTAGCTGTTTCTTTGCTTTGAGGTGAAGCCTAAATGAAAGTCCCTCCTGTTCTAAATGAAGGTTGCTTATTTCAAAATCAATGGTGTCAAGAAGCATCATCTGCCCTAGGTGTGTTGGATGAACTAATGATCTGATTTGCCAACCACAAAGTGGCCTGTCAGTGTTTTCTGAGAATTTTATCTGTTTCTTCAAGTTTGGCCCCGTCTTTGACATGTTTCCTTTTTTTTTCTTTTACAGTGCCAGTATGTGTATCTACATCAATGTGTAAGAGACGTCTTAAGAGCCAGGAAGCTTCGTAGTGAACAAGAAAACCCTTTATTTCCAATCTATGAAAATGTGAATCCAGAGTATCACAGAGGTAGGGTCCTAATTTCAAGGATTTTTCATGGCTTCCATTTCAAAGAGCCTTATCACTCTCGTGTCTCATGAGATGTAGATTCTATATCCAGTTGATCTCACCTATCCCATCCATTCATCTCATCTACATCCTCCACTAGTCAGAATCCATTCTCATATTTTCATCCCCTGTGACTTGTACAAATCCTTCCTTCAGTCTTCCCCAAGAGGATCTACCTAACATACTAGAAAGCCATCATCTAGGGGAGGGAGTCTTCACCTTTTTTGTGTGATGCAGACCCCTTGGCAGTCTAGTGAAGCCTATGGACTCTTCTCAGAATAAAATTTTTAAATGATGAAAGGAAATGTTAAATTCCAGTAAGAGGTTAGTGAAAATAACGCTTTTGGGAAATCTATCCATGGGTCTCAAGTTAAGAAGGCCTGATCTAAGGCTTTTAACATATTGTAGGTTGCAACAAGATTCCCATCTAGTATCCTTCATTCTTACTAAATGAGGAATCTGTCTCATTTCCAATCATACATTTCCATGATGTTATCATTATGCACTTAGTGGAGATAGAGGTGGGGCTAGGGAGTGGGCCTGTGATTTAATTGATACGGGAAACACTGAGGTGAGGAAATTCCCGCTACCCATGCAGGTCATCCCCCGTCAGCTATTTATAATCTTAGAGGATTGCCTAGCACTGAAAAACTAAATGTTTTGCCTAGGGTTGCAGAGGCAGTATGTGTCAGAGGAACTGAACCAAGGTCTTCTTGACTTTTGGTCCAGAGCCCTACCCACTATAGCATCCCAAGGGCCACTGTCAAAATGATACTTTGTCTGAAAGGAAAGGGTGACCGCCTACCTTTCTCCCATTGACATTTTAATATAGCTTTCTTTAGTGATGCCTTGAAAGGCAAAGAGTGCCCAGCCTTTAAGCTATTAGACACAGGGAGGGTACGTTTTAATTGGTAGTAGGTGGCAGGAGATGTGGTTGTGAGAAACTTTTTGCATCAATGGGAAACTGGAAAAAGAGACAAGCAGCAGGGTATTGAAGGATGGAGAGAAGAGGATTCATAGGACACACAGGGCAGGAGTCACAGGAGTGTGTAGGTCACACGTTCTATTTGTCTCCATCACAAATTTGTCCAAGGTCATGGTAGTATGGGACTTGGAAGTGTTCTTTCTTGAGCTGGGATATACTTGTAAAAAAAAAAAAAAAAAAGCTGGGGATCAGTGTATTTCATAGAATGCAAAAAAAAAGTTTTCTTGAAAAATTATGTTTATAGAATTTTTTTTTAAAAAAATCAAACTATGTGCTCACTAAATTTACAGATTAGTGTCAAAGCTACACCACTATAATATCTGATTGGCTTTCTAATGGCCATGACTCCGAATATTTCCAATTTCTCCTCCATGCAATCCCTAACTCTCACACACATGTTAATCTGTGTGGTTTTCCTGAGTGGGAGTATCCCTCCCCTCAGGTAACACCTTCTTCCCAACCTTCTGGTGGTTCAACAATTCAACAAATATTTGTTGTGCCTACTATGTGCCAGGCCCTGAGGACACAATGACAGAAATGAAATAGTCTCTGCCCTCAAGGAGCCTACATTCTACTAAGGAGAATGAGACTCCACAGTTATCTGGACAGACAGACTCACAGTGCTCCACTACCCTGTTTTTCAAGCCTTTGACACACAGCAGGAGGTTCAAGCATGCATAGTCTATTACTGTAATCTCTGAAGATCCACAGCCATCGTTGGCATCACTTTAGAACTTTAACAGAAAATTAAATAGTTAATGGTGCATAAAAAATAGAAATGTACTAGGGGGACATGTTATTTAAAGAAATCCCTTTGTAAATTAGAGCATCCTTTTGAATTGCTACTGCACTAAAACTGTGGGGATTCTGTGGGTTATGCTAAAGATTTGCACTTTTTATATATACATATATATATATATACACACACAAACACATATGTATGTATGTTATCTCATTTGCACTTTATATATATTATCTCATTTGCACTTTATATATATTATCTCATTTGCACTTTATATATATCATTAACACTTTATATATTATATCATTTTCACTTTATATATATTTTCTCATTTGTATTTTACATATATAAATATTATCTCTTTTGCACTTTACATATATTATCACATTTGCACTATATATATGTGTGTGTGTATATATGTGTGTGTATATATATACATATATATAAAATCTCATTTGATCCTTACAACAATCCTGTGAAGTAGGTACTGTGATTTTTTTTAATCATTCCCATTTTACAGATGACACTCAGAGAGATTAAGTGACTTATGTGTGGTCATATGGCAAGTGCCAGAGGTAGAATTCAAACCAGGTCTTCCTGGCTCTAGGTCTAACCCTCTCTGGCTTCATCACACTGCTGCTCCAAAGCCAGGCTGGAGAGGGAAATAGTACCTAGCTGCCAAGCATACTTGGCATTCATTAGTTCTTTTCATCTTTTTTTCTTAAACAGCTTTTGATTTTCACGGAGGAAAAAATAACAAAGCTACCTGCTATCTACTCTAATGACAATTTGTCATCTTCTTTTCAGATGCTGTCTATTCAAGGCATTAAGAATGTAGCAGAGATCTCTTTGGATCAACCCCATTCACTGTGTGATTGTTTTTGTTAAACTCCATATCCTAGAGAGGTGCCAGATATTTCTGTTTATATTGTGTATAATTTATTAGTCTAGTAAATTTTAAAAGAATCTATGTAATTTAAGTGTAATAGTTATTATTGTACATAATTTGTATTTTGTGATATTCTTCTGTAAATATGTATTTTTCAGTGTTTAATATTAAGCTTCAGATAATACTATTTTTCCATCCTAAAGTTTTTATAAATTGTTCTACATAAATGGTTTTAACCTGTATGACAGGATCATTGGTGGAATGTCTGTGTTGGCTTTTTCATTGTCCCTTAATATCCAGGGGCAATCTTGGGGTGGGAGCTGTCCTTCATTTATTTGATATTCAAAGAATTGGAAAAGTCTCAGAGTGGATGGCAACCTACATTTGAGCCATCTGAATCTGAGTCTACATAATGAGAAATATTGGATGAGAAGATTAATCAAGCTGACGCGTTCCCAGCATCTTAACTACCAAATAGGGAACATCAGCAGAGCTCCTCCATCAGCTATGGCTCCCCTGGCCCTCACCAATAATTCCCCAATGACCACTTCAGTGACTGTGTAAAGATAAAGACTCATTTACAGAGAGATTCTTAACCTGAAATGTTGAAGACTTTTAATGGTTTCTGCTATAAGCAAAAGCAGAATTCTACATACAAAGAAAAATACCAGCAATAAACCATTTCCTGAAAACTCAGTGACCACAGTAGCATGAAAGAATAGTGTAGACACTACTGGGGGCTATTTCATCTCGTCAGTGTATCTCTACACAAAAAGTGTGTGTATAAGGAGGTGACTAGTGACAGGCAGCCCCTTTTATCTATCATGTTCATGTTTGAATGTTTATATGTACATTCAGGTAGTCCTCTGATTTGCAGGGAGTTGTATTCCTGGAAAAGGTGCTTTAAATCAGAATGAATTCAATTTAATCTGATTTTCCCCATGTAAACAATGTTACAATGGGGGAAGGGGGAAGAGAGGAAGAGGGTTATATTTGAGACCTAAGACCTACTGCCAACTTTTCATAGAAATGACCACAAGTACCATATTTAATGTATAATTCCAATTGACACTTGTATGCCAAATGATGTATACCTTATGTACTGCTTGATACAAATGAAGCAGGGTAATATAGTAACAAATTACATAAAAGTGTATTTGGTAGGGTGAATTTATCTCTACATAATATACAAAGTCCTTATCTTGGTTTTCCATAATTCCTTCTTAGTTTTACTGCAACAAATCCCATAAAAGGAAGAAACACTTTTATCAAGATCATGACACCAATTTCCACCCCCCCTTCCTCAAACTTTCTCTCTCTTTCTCTCCACTCTTTCTGCTTCTCTCCCTCCATCTCTCTTTTCTCTCTGAGACTCTTTCTCTCCCGTCCTCCCTCCCTTTCTATCCTTCCACCCCTCCCTCTCATTCTGTATGTGTGTGTCTCTGTCTTTCTCTGAAGAGAGTTGGGGGACTTTCTGCTCTAGTCACAGATGTATCTGTGTGTCCCTTGCCCTCTACTTTGTCAATATCACCAGCACTCCAAGTAATAAGAAGGCTCTATTTATATAAATGGACACACAGCTAGAAAAAGTCTTTCACAGTAATTTGTAGTTCATGTCAGGGAACAAGTTGGCTACATTGGAAAGAGAAATCAGATAAATACCAGAATGAATTAAGAATGGATTAAGGACCCTATTAACATAGGGTTATGGAGATTTCACAATTCACCTTTAATTGGTCTACATTCAAGGCTGCATTATATTGTGATACTGTGTCAGGACAATGCGAAATAAGGAAGAAAGAAAGTGTGAGTATATGAGAGTAAATGGAAAGACACAGAGCAACAGGAAACAAGTGTATTCAGGGTTTCATAAAGTAGACAGTTTTGAGTCACTAAGTGTTGTTGTTGTTGAGTTATTTCAGTCATGTGCAGCTATTCATGACCCCATTTGAGGTTTTTTTGGCAGAGATACTGGAATAGTTTGCCATTTCCTTCTCCAGCTCATTTTACAGATGAGGAAACTGAGGCAAATGCGATTACATGACTTATCCATGGTCACATAGTTAGTAAGTGTCTAAGGCCAGATTTGAACTCAGGAAGATGAATTTTCCTAACTTTAGGCCTGGCACTCTGCTTAACTGTTTATCCATTTTTGAAAAGTTATAATCTGGACTCTTAAACTAGCTTTGTTTTTTTAGTGCAGGCCAGGGATTTCATCTTGGTAGGAAACTCCTTGTGAGCACTCCCTTCACTTATGCAGATCCCCAATTTCATCTGTAACCTCCTAATTTTAGAAAATTTCCTCAGGAACTAAGAGTTTAAAGTGATTTGCACAGCATCACATAGGTATCTGTCAGAGGCAGGTCTTCCTGGCTCTTCCTTCCATTATGCTATGGTGCCTACAATCTAATATTGCCTTTTCTAAAATACATTAATGCATGGAAAGACAATGGATTTTCTTCTATAAATGGAATGTTCCAATTAACATGAAGAATCCATTGCATTTAAAATAATGTTTTTCAATTAAGTTTGAGAGAGTGAAACAGCTTACTAGTTTTATATATATGATTCAGTCTGATAATAGCTACAGCCTAACAAAGTCCAGAACCCTGAAAAGCCTGCTATTTGCTTAACATCAAGTCATCTGAGCCTGGGGAAGAAGTATAAACAAAGAATTAAAGTCATATAGCTCCCTTCCATCCCCAGTCTGTGATGGCAAATAAAGCTCAGATGTTGAGCGAGATCTGAGAGGTAGAAAAAGAAAGTTGTGATAACTGAAGACAGGACAAATGAGTTTTTTTAGTCTGGTCCATTAAAAAAAAAGAAATATCTTCCTCCATTACACCTGTCTAATTTTAAATTTCCCTAGCAACAAATACTTCACTACTCCCCTGAAGATACTAAATACATCCTGTAGTTCATCTATTTTGGAAAAAAAAGAAGTGTTTACTTGATACTCAGCCCAATTTTATGTATTTTCATTAAGGCTCATTAGGTGCTTATCATAGTAAGTGATCCGTTGCTTCTCTTGGTATGCGTGCACCTGCCTGTTTATACGCTACTTGTAATCACTGTATCCTGGTATTAAATGTTAGGAGACCATCATAAGGAATCTTAGTAATCATTTATCCAAACTATAATTAGCTCCTTTAACTTCTCATTAAATCAAAACTCTTATTTCTCATTTTGTCATCCGATTGTATTTCTCTGGATGGTGGCCAATTTTCAAGGTCATCAGTCTAGGGCAAAGGGTTTTTAACTCTTTTCTGGCAATCTGAAGAAGCCTTGGAACTGCTTCTCAGAATAATGTTTATAAATATGTAAAATAGAATGCATACAATTGCAAAGAAAATCAATTCTATTGAACTATAGCTCTCAAAATATTTTTAAAACAAATTCATGGACCCCCTGAAATCTATCAAAGGTCCCCTGGGAAAAGATTTGTATACTCCAGGTTACGAACCTCTCATATAGGACCTCGAATACTCCTAACCAGCAAATGTGAAATGACTTATCCATGGTTGTAACAAATGACTCAAGATTCTTCTTAGAGATCTTAAATACATATTCTAATTGATCTGTCTGTTAAAGTAAGCTTCAGGGGTAGGATTTGAAACTGGATCCTTTGACTCCGGAGCTAGACATTGAAATTAAGCATACAGATTTAGGGACACTTTATCAATGAGTTATCCACATTCATGACCCACCCTCCAGAAATGGAAGGACCTGATCTAATGAGAAAGTCTTAATCAATTCCTTTTAAAAAAAACTATTTTCGTGTTTTCAGGCACCCCCTTTAGTGTAACAGATAAGACTTAGTTACATGAAGCAACTGTGCCTTCTTCAAGGGAGCACTTTTCTCATAGATGAAAGGTCCAGGTTTCTTCTCTAAAATGGATATCGAATGTTCTGGGAAAGTCACCGGTGATGATATTCTGGTCCCATACCAGAAGTACTTCCTGGTGCCATCTGTTAAAAGGTGGTAAAGACTTTTGAAAAGCAGTGTTGTCTCTAGCTAGATTATGTAAGCAGAGAAAACTATTCCTTTCGTTCGTCAAGATGCTCTTCAAAAACCTTTTCACCTATTTCTACTAAAAGACACTCCCTCTTCCCTTATTATTATGGATAAAGATAGGGACTTGGACTGTGATTTCATTGGTATAGGAAACTCCCAGGGAAGGAATGCCCTCTACCAATGCAGTTTGGCACCTTCTCTGCAACTTAAAGTGTTAGGAAGTTGATTAGCTAAACCTATACATGGCTGTCTTTTTTTTTTAAACTGAATATTAGATTGTGCACTCCTGAAACAGGGACTCTATCTTATTTATCTTTGCATCTCTTGCAGGGTATTCTATGTCATCAATGCCTAATAAATGTTTGCCGAATGAATAAGTGGGTGGATAGATGAATGAAGTAGTTTAGCCAGTCAACAAATCAACTTGATCAAACAATTGGTTTGACTGATTTTTTTTCTATCATAATGACCACTCTTCAGCTGAATTGACCTCTTGGTTTTTTCATGCTAAGCAGTGTTCATAACCACTTGGCTATTTTCATAACTTTTGAATATAACTTTTAATGTAGCCTAAATTGTAAGAATCTGTTTAGCTCTAAAAATGTTTCCAGCCGATTGAAATATTTCATTCTAACATACTTGGCTTGTAGGGAGACTCCAAAAAGAAAACAAATGTCTTCAATATATTTTTGTTAAGATGATCTTATTTGGTGTGTGAACGTATGTGTGTGCTTGCATACATATTTGTGTAGACATTCCCATTAAGTGAGGACAATATTACTTAATGCTCTTAAAAATAGCAATTTCTGCAATAGAAATAAAAGGTCCATCGCCAGTTTTGCTGAATCCTTTTTTTAAAACCCAATGCTTTAGAAAGTCTTCCTATCACATAGAATTCTAAAATAAATTATGCAAAACAGAACAAGTCATACTGTGAACAATGTCAGACAAATGCAATTTCTGCTGCTGTGATTATTTATGTAGTCTAAACGTGATTGGCAAATCCTTCCTAGAATTGCCACAAGAAGGATTCATGCTCCCCAATTCACGTTTTTAAATAGCATCTCTTAGGAATCACCATTCTTCCAATATAAACAAAGCTTTCTTTTACATTCTGATAGTGGTGGTGATGGGTGTTCATGAATAGCTTACTGTGAAAAGCTTTGTGGCTTTGAGAGTTTCTATATCAGAGTTGGCCATATCCATCCATTCCATAAACTATTTTAAGAAAACCTTCAACAGATTATGCCAGCTAAAGAAGCACAGATCATCTCCTCCATCTCTAGTTTGCAAATTCCTCCTTGGAAAAGGCACCAGTAGCCTTTAAGAGGGGGCAGGTGGGCAAAGTAAAAACCATGTTAGTGAAATTCCAAAAAGATGTTTGGCCAAAACATCACCTGAGATATGTAGATTGTGAACACAATGAAGGAAAAGAGTGTTCTTTCACATTTTTTTTTTGTTTCCCCATAATAGTATCAAATCTGGTGCCTTGCATATAGTAGATGCTAAATGTATGCTTGTTGAATGAAAATGTCCACTGGGTATAGCTTTGGTATTCAGTGTACATTAACATTAAATCTCATGGATGTTTCTCAGGCTTTTCCTTGGCTTATTTGAAATGTAAAGATACCCCATGAGTATATCAGGTGACTGAACTTAATATGTTCTATAATAGAGCACTTACTTTTTATAGCTTTTGAAATATCATTCATTCTTATTCCTACAAATCTGGTAATTAAGAGTGGCCATAGACCCTACTATTTTCCTCATGTTATATTATGTACTCTCAATGGTGTTCTTAACAAACTCTGTTTGAGCACAGAACTATATTAGTGCTGTTTATTTAAGTTATATATTTGTTAAGTATATTTTTATATTTGGTAACTGCAGTCTACAAAACTGTGAGTATATTTTATGCATTTTCTCAGTATATCAGGAATAAATCCATGGTTCATTAAAGAAGGTGGTCCTGTCTTCCATTCCCTTTTTACATCTTTCTGCATTGTGGATTTGGGAAACCTTATGACTCAGGTGAAAGGTCAGAGGAGACCGATTTTTAAATAAGATCATCTTCAGAGAACATTAGCATTGCCAACCACTATTGCCTTAACCTTTAAACCTGTATGTGTGAAGTTGGATGCCTTGAGTAATGTGTATATGATAAAACCAGCCATGGACGCTCTGCACATAGATTCCTTGTTTTTAGCTCATTAGTAGCCAAAATGTCATCTAGTATTAACAGGGCCTTGTCAGCTTCAGTGGTTTCCAATTCCAGGAGTGTCTTTCTGAACTGGACTTCTCTGCAGCTCCTGAAAACACTTACACATCACTAGTAAAACCGGTGACATTTGGCAAA